TTGCCTTCATGCTTGTGCAAATAAGATTGCAACACAACTGACTTACTTGTTAAAGATCTTATTGGTGTATATCTTGCTCATTTGCCTCTCCATCGGTAAATACGTTAGCAATTTTGGCTGCTTTAGCGCGGTGTTCGCTTCTTGCTGTAGCTCAGATCCCAGTATTCTTTGTTGCAAAGCTTTGTACTGCTTGGCAAACTGTAGCAATGAGTTGCCAGGGCTCACGTACCGCTTCAAAATAGCATTGAACCCCTCGCTGCGCTGCGTAGTCCGCAGAAATGGGAAGAAGCACTGCATGAAGTAGGCCGGCACCCAGTACATTCGCTTCTCCCACGGGCTAGCAAGAGTCTCGTTGTCTTGGACTTGATATATTTCAATCATGGCCATCCAACTTCTTTCAAACTCCTCCACCGTCAAGATGTGGTCCACGCACAACTTGAATGCCTTGTGCAGCTCTGGACGGTCATCAAAGAACGGTCCTAGCGTCTCCTCAGCCTTCTTTATAATGTGCCACCTGCAGTGCCTGTGCACTGCCAACGGAAAGACCTCCTCTATGCCTGCACGCGTGCTAAAATCCTGGTATGCTATTATGTTCATCGGAGCAAGTCCATCCATGCACTCCAAGAAGGTCTTGAACAGCCAAACGTACCCATCCGTGTCTTCGTTCCGAACGAGCCCGCATCCGAACTGCAATGACTTATTGTGGTTATTTATTCCTATGAATGGAGCGCATGGCATCTTGTACATATTAGTGAGATATGTCGCGTCGAATGAAATGCAATCTCGGAAATGTTTGTAGATTCTTCTTGCAGCACCATCCACCCAATAGATGTTCCTGATATGGTCCTCAGCGTCCAACCTTATCTTGTAGAAGAAATCTGGATTTTCCTTCGCTTTTATGCACAAGCAACGCAAACTGAGAGAATATTTTTATGCCACTAATAAAATATATTTCGAAGGTGCCGCAGGCGCGTGCGAGTGTGTCTGGCTCAGAACGGACAACGGAGAGAACCGGCGAAACCCGAACGGATGCAAGTTTTGAAAAACATGCAGATGACATGCAGATGAAGTGCAGATGATGACATGAGACGAGATGCATAACAAGAACAAAATGCGAAACAACAGACAAAAACCCAACCACGGAGGAAAAATAAATCACATAGCCGAAAATAGCAAGAGTCGGAGTTACGAATATGGAAAGTTATATCCAGGGCATTACATTCAGGCCAGCGAGCGAGGAGGAGACGACGAGCGTAGCGCATGTGGCAGCCTGGTTGAGGCTTCATTCTGTGATCTAGAGCACCTAGCTAGCAGTGTAGTGTATGGTAGCTAGATATAGGTACATTTTGGACCTACGATGGCGATGAAGAAATCGATCGTACCTCAATCTTAAATTTGGCCCGTGGTGTCCTATTTTTTCTAAACGTCACTCATATGCATACAAAAAAATAGGGGCGCCACTAGTTATCTACCCCTGTAAGGGTTTCTGCAGTAGTGAGATGGAGCTCTTTAAGAAATTTCTGCAGGTGATTACAATAAGGAGTTTTTTTAACCGTACTACAATAAGGAGTTATTTGAATCCGCTGGTCCACAAAAACCAACAGAATGAGTTCTTTGAGTAGGTTTCCCACTAAAACCACCACAGGTAGTCTTTATAGGTATTGCATGAAATTATTTCACTGAAAGTTCACTCCATGAGCCGATTATTTTTCGAATAGTAGGATAACTCCCGGTCTCTGCATCAAGTGTTACACACAACCATTTATTAATAAGGTATCGGACAAATTACGAAGTTCATCTCGGGTTCTCAAGCAAGATGACAACAAAATAATGCCACAATCGGTAAAAATAGGACAAGATGACTAAACATTTATCGTATTATTTGACCGTCATCCAAACTGATTGTGCGTAGCCCGTGCTAGTGTCTCCAGCGGTTGCACCCAAAGGCCATATGCTCTATGGCTTCCGCACAACTGAGTAACGACCACGTACGGATCCATCCAGACGCTGGGAAGATAACCTGTAAAAAATGTTGGGATTTGTTTGGTTAAAGATAACAACATTCCTAGACTTTCAAATGGCCCAAAGTAATACACAAACTCCCATTCGAATTTGTGCCGCTGTATTGGGCTCTACTCCATTTAGCTAGGTACCAAATAAGACGAAGATGACATTAAATTACACATGTATTGTACGCCACAATAACCTGGCTAGTGGACATTTGATAAAAAGATATTGATTTTTTCATCTTGATCACAACAACAACACCGTTTACTATCTTCCCATGTACGTTTTGCCAAGTTGTCGTTAGTTAAAATCGCCCCTTTTGCACAAACCACATAAATACCTTAAGATGAAGCGACTTTATAATTGTTCCAATGTTAATCAAGTCTACATACATAGATTTTATTGAGAACACGCCAGAAACCGAAATTTTCCAATGAAGGGTATCTGACCCAATAGACAGGTTAACCTCTATCAATCTACGCACTAAATGTAGCCATCGATCCCATCTTTCCCGCGCTAGTACCCACCAAAACTAAATGTTTAAGGGAACTCACCCTAGTATTGTACTTATGAAATCGTCTTCACGTTGTACAATGTTATATATCGTTGGAGAGTGTAAGGCTAGAGGCTTCTCCCCCAGCCAAGTATCTTCCCAGAATCTAGTAGTATGACCATTCCCGACTATAAATTTACTCGTATGAAACAAGGCAACCTTTGTTCTCATCAGCCCCTTCCAAAGAGGAGAATCAGTCGGCTGCGCCGTAACTTGTGCTAGAGTTTTGGAATGCATATACTTGTTACGCAATAGTTGTATCCACACATTGTCCTCCTCTACAGACAACGGATAAAGACATTTCCTAGGTAGACATTTGTTCTTTACTTTCAGGTTCTCGATACCCAAACCCAGGGCTGGGCCCATAGTAGTGCCAAAAGTGCGGCCCGCATAGGGCCCAAAATTCTGGGGGGCCCAAATTTTTATATAGGCCTAGTATTAAAAGGAAAAGAAAAACTAAGCGCTATTGGGCCTTGCGGCGCTGGAGACCTAAGCCAGGCGACGAGGCCATCGATCGAGCGGCGAGCCGCGAGCGCACTTCTCGTCTACCGCTACAAGGAGTCAGGGATCGGGACCCGGGAACGTATCTGGTGCAATGGTGAATTTGGTGCTATCGGTGCACCGATCTTCATATCTCACTTTATAAACATTGAAAAATTATGAAATTTTGTGAGGGTGTAAATATGACACATATCTACCATAGCATAAAATTTTAGATTCAAATTCAACGTACATAGTTAGAAACCAAAGAGACAAATCATACTGCGAAAAGTACCTAGTAACCTGGGCCTTGAATTTAGCCCATTTTCTATATCATCGTTGAATTTTTCTTTTTTGTTTCTGATGCTGCGTTTTCAACTGGATCTCAAATTTTGTAGTATGACGAATTCTTGTTGCTAGTACAACATACTTTTTGTTCATAATTTTTTGACAATCATAAATTGGATTTTATTAACATAGTGCACAGCTAGCACAAGAT